CAGGGCCTGGCGGAAGCCAAACAGTAAAGAAACAATGTCCAATGAGCTTGTGACAGTCTGTATACAAAAAGACTTTTCATACATATAATACATAACCAGTACAGAACAGTATGAACAGTATATACAATTATTCAGACTAGGGACTCCATTCCTTACATAGCAGTACAGTAAAACGTTCAGTCTATACAATCCATTAGGTATATTACAAAACAGTAAGACAGTACAGAAGGGGAGTCCTAAACACCCTAAGCCTTAGCATGAATAAACTGGGAACCTCGCAGTGAGGCACACAGGCTGGCTTGACAAAACTGGATACCTGACGCTCCTACCGCGGTCAGTGCCTGTACACCTACATATATATATGAGCAGTGAGCTAAAGCCCAGTGAATAGACATAATGCGTAAAGAGGTTAAGAATGAATGTCCTTACAGTAATGAAAACATTCATTAAATCAGTATTCAGTCGTTCAGTCAGTACAGTCATATGTGTACAATCCATTAGCATAACAGTACAGTAAACAGTAGGTCTTAAAAGCACGAGCAGTAAATGATGGCCATCAGTCAGTAACAGTAGGGTTCCAACAAGGGAACGCGACAAGATCTCTGTAACAGTAACAGTAAACAGTAAACAGTAGGGCTAAGGATGTCCACTATCAGTTCAGAAATTAGGACATACATTCATTCAATTAACAGTATCAATCCAGAAACAGTACAGTTCAGTTGTTCAGAAAATAATCATTTTTGAACATATCTTTACACAATCGTTACTCACAGAGTTTGGGCTACAGTATGCTAGAGCGTGTCTCCCCAGTCGCCAACCTACACAATTAACAGATTGAACACACAAGCTACAACAGTGGGAATGATAATAACTATCCTAATTTTGACTCGGTGTGTCTACATCTATATCCTCAATAAGAATGTCTTAAATTAGGCCTAAGAATGCCTAAGGGATGAATGAGATGAGGATGCAAAGATGTACTCAAAAAGCAGTTTCGGAAGTTTCAGAAAAACAGAGTCCCGCTCGAGCTCAGGTTTCCCCGCTCGAGCGGACATGCAACAAAGGTACACGCTTGAGCGTCAACTTTCCCGCTCGAGCGTACTGTAAAAGTACTGGATGGGTGAAATCTCCATTCGACGGACGCTCGACGCCCGCTCGGGCTTGAGACACATGACTCCGCTCGAGCGCCCAATACTCCGCTCGAGCGGACTGTAAAACAGTGCAGAGATACTGGATGCTCGGATTCCCCACTCGAGCGTCACTAGCCCCCGCTCGAGCGGAAGTGCAGAATCTGGAAAACCCAGATTGCACCTCCAAGCTCAAACCAAGTTTTAACAACTCAAAACTCGACCTCTTGAGCTGAATTTCCAGAAAACATTTGTAAACACATAGAATAACATGGTTCAAAACTCAATTTTGAGAAATCAAAGCCCAAGGGTGTTTAATTCAAATCCAATGTCAAACCATTTTTCAAGAACAATCCTCAAACATGACATGCATGATCTTTAAATAACTTTCAAGCTTCAAGACATGCTCTAATGAGCCAATTGATCCAAAAACAAGATGAAAACATGGACCATTACAAAATCATGGACATGCATGTAACAATTTGCCATGAACTCAACTCAAAATCCAACAATTCAAACATGCATGCATGGATTATGCTCTATATTAACATGTATGAACTAAAACATGACTTAGCTCTACAATTTAACATGGACCATGCAAGAATTAGCTCAAACACAAGAATGGGAAGATGAAATCCTTACCTAAGTCTTTGAATTAGAAGACTAGGAGCTCAAATATGTAATCTATACTTCAATTACTAAGCAATTCTTCAAGTTCCCAAGCAATTCAAGATGAACAATTCAATCTCTCACTCTCTCCCCCTCTTGGTCGACTATGGCAAGGAGAAAGGCTGAGCAATGTTTTGATCTAAGTGTATAAGTGTATACAAGGCTCAAATGTGTGTGAGATAGTGGCCACTAAGTCTGGCAAAAGTGTAAATAAGCCTAACACGTGCAATTCATTGATATTAATCTAATTTAATCATACCTAATCAGTTTTCAGATAATTATACCATAAAATCACATAAATTATGATGATCATAAAACATCAATCAATTCCCAGTTCGGCCGCCGATAAGGCCTCCAATTAGCAGTTTAAACATAAAACATGAACAGATCAAATAAACAATCAAACAGATAGAATACAGATTAACATACATACTCAGTCAATTCAGTTCCAGTTTTCAGTCAGTTAGTTCAGTACTTTAATCAGTTCAATTATCAGTCATAATCAGTTCAATTTAGCGGTAATCAATGTTTATTGGTAAGCAGTGGTGAGGGTTATTACATAGGCTCTAGCCTGGCACAAGGGTATTCGGGTTTTGGACGGGTCGATGGATCGAGCCTCGGGTCTGGCCGGTGGGCCTGGGCCTAACCTCAAGCTTAGGTCGGACTTGGGCGAACCTGACCAGTTTTTTTAATTCTTTTTAATTTTTTCTACCAAAATTTTATTATTTTTCACAAAAAAAGACATTGTGCCTTGCGCGGGCTAGGCCTCGGATCGAGCCTTGAATGGGCCTTAAGCGGGCCGATGGGCCGAGCCAGGCTTCAAAGTGAGGGTCGAGCCAGGCTTCAAAGTGATGGCCTAGGCCTTAGCATAGGGTCTCGAACATGCTCGGCCCGGATCCAAACGAGCCTGCCCCGGGCCGTGGGCGGGCTTCGTGCAGCCCACGGGCCGCGGGCCAATTCTACATTCCTATCAATGTGTATGTTAACATGTCAATGTGAATATTCACATTGTCACGGGTCGGGCCATGCCCGCCTCGGGCTGCGGTCGGGTTTCGGGCCGCCCACGGGCTGCGGTCGGGTTTTGGGCCGCCCACGAGCTGCGGGCCAATTTTACACTCTTATCAATGTAAATGTTAACATGTCAATGTGAATATTCACATTGTCAACGGGCCGGGTCGGGCCCGCCCTGGGTAGCTGGCCAATTTTATACTCTTATCAATGTGAATGTTAACATGTCAATGTGAATATTCACATTGTCAACAGGCCGGGCCTAGCCCACCCCGGGCCGCCCACGGGCTGTGGGCGGGTTTCGGGCAGCCATGGAGCGCGGGCTAATTTTACACTCCTATCAATGTGAATGTTAACATGTCAATGTGGATATTCACATTGTCAACGGGCCGGGCCGAGCCCACCCAAGACCGCAGACGTGCTTTTGGCTGCCCATGGGCCGCGAGCCAATTTTATACTCTTATCAATGTGAATGTTAACATGTCAATGTGAATATTCACTTTGTCAACGGGCCGGACCAGACCCGCCCCGAGTCGCCCATGGGCTGCGGGCAGGTTTTGCGCCGCCACGGGACGCGGGCCAATTTTACACTCCTATTAATGTGAATGTTAACATGTCAATGTGAGTATTCACATTGTTAACGTGCCGGGCCTGCCCCGGCTCGCGGGCGGGATTCGGCCCGCCCACGGGCCAATTTTACATTCCTACCAATGTGAATTTTAAAATATGAATGTTCACATCATAAAATTGTTAATCGTTCAAAAAATATTTATAAGGGTATCAAAATTAAATATAAGGGCATAAGTGTCCAAGAAAATAGTGTAAATTAAGAAAAACTGACTTTATGAAACAAAACTATGCATACATGGGACTCAATGGGTTAAAAAATTCCTTCATGGACTTCTTGGGTTAAAACACTTCTAAATGGGATTTATCAATAAAAATTCCTTTTTTGTATTTCTATGCATTTATTAATATTTTAAAATATTTTTTCACAAATTTTTTATTTTTTAGATACATTTAAGTAAGGTGTATCTAAAAAAGTAAAAAAATTGTTTAAAATTTTAAAAATATTCACTAAAAAAAAAACACGAAAACCAAAAAACTCAGTTTTCAAAAAACTTAATTCAGAAAACTCACACCAAACACACTGATTTATTTATTTTTTTTGGCTACCAATTGTTTAGTCATCAAAAATATGATTTTATTTTTTTTAATTATTTTATCCACAACCTGTACGTATTCCATGCAATCTGTACTATGTATATAAATAAAACAATATATATATTATCAACCATTTTGCAATTTGCATCCATTTCACTTCCAATCATTCAAAAAGGAATAACTTTTAATGTCAAATTTCATACAAACTAAATATATTCTAACCTAAAATAATAATCTCATACAAAACAGATAATCATACCAAAATTTGAACATGAAAATATAGCACCATAGAATCATGAGTGCAATTCATCTAGAAAATTGTATGTAAGATGAGAGGAGAGAGGGTCATAGAAACTCACAAGAATTTTGATACTTCCCACTTCGTAAATATGTGGCTAAAGGCTTTGTATATGTGAGGCATTGTATAACCGAATCGAAAAAACAAGTGTGGGGATATATTTTCTGAGTACCAACACTTGGCCAAGGTGACGCCGACGTGTCAGCCGAGGTGTCACGTGTTCAGGTTATGACGCCGAGGTTATCTCGGCAAGGCCGAAGTTATCTCTGAAGATATCGAAATCCGAAATAAACGGATAAGGGACAAGAGTCCTACAATAAGGAAGGACTATGGCATGGATAAGGATAAAGTTCTTAAGGAGTTTATCTTTATTTCTTGGAGAGTCCAGGATAAGCACTGAGCAAGAGTCCATTAAAGCTAGGCTTTTATTGGGACTAGAATTGTGTTTACTATAAAAGAGAGGCACCCCCATGGGTCTAAGGTACGCAGTTTATATTCTGAACAGTAAGTTTAGCACTATTGATTATCTTTGAGAGATATACTGACTTGATCGTCGGAGTGCCCCCGGGTGGACGAACCACCGC